CCAACTCTTATTGCTCTTCAGCCGAAGTAAGTGCATGGCTGAAGAGTGGTTGGCTGGAATAAACCAACTCTTGTTACTCTCCAGCCAAAGTAAGGGTATGGTTGAAGCTGGATTGGCTAGATTAAACACTTTGTACTCCTCAGCCGAAGTGATTATATCGGCTAAGGAGTGGTTGGCTAGTAAGCATAGTTTAACCAGATAAAACCGAAATAACAGTTGGAATTTATAGAGGACATTTCAAGTGTAAGCATACACATCAACCGAAGTAAGAATTCAAGCAAGTTTTCATTTCATTAAAAGTCAGAATAGGAACATAGGAGGAGCCGCAGCCCGGTTACAAAGTCAAAGGCAAACAAAAGTAACACAAAGAGAAAAAATCAAGAAAAAAGATCTTCGATCTCGGCGTCAAAGGCAGCATCGGCAGCAACCTGAAGACCGGTTTCGGGCGCAAGGACGTTTTCAGTCGGAAGAGTGGTTTCTGCCGGAACCACGATTTCACTTGGTTGATCAATAGTTAGATCTTCCACCATGGGCTCCAACCGAACTACCTGATCTACATTCACAACCGGAGTATCCTCAGGGGCAGAGTCTTCATCTGAGTCTGAGTCCTCAAGAAATTGCTGTTGCATGGCATTGGCGTATTCCATCAGGGAGTTCGGTATAAAGTAGGCTGGAGGGTTGAAAACCTCGGTTTGAGGATCATGACCGAGCTTCTCAACGGCTCCCCTCCAGCCGCACTTAAAGAACAGCTCCTTGGCAGCATTGCATTGTTGGGCATAAGCATCCTCCGCCCTCTTGAAGCCTTGTTTGTCAGCTTCCTTTGCCCTCTCCTTTATTTTGACATCTTTCTTCCTTTCAAGCTTCACCAGCTCGCGCAGGTATTTGTCCTTCAGAGCTATGGCAGTCTTCTGCCTTTCTGCCTCTGCCGAATTAACTACTTCGGTCAGCCTGCTGTTCTCAGCCTGCAGCTCGGCCATTTGCCTCTTAATGTCTTCTACCTCGGCCGACTTCAGTTCGGCTTCGGCCACTGCGTCCCTCGTAGTTTGTCTAAGTTCCAGCACTTTCTTGTGAGTGTTGTAGTTTTTTTGAATTGCCTGACAAAACAAGGACTTCTAATGAGCCGAAGTAAAAGCTTAAAAAACTAGACAGAAAAACGGACGAAGTTACTTACCAGAATCAGGGATTTAGTCGTAGACTGGATGGATTTCAGCTCGGTGGTTAACTGTTTGTGGTGATGCTCCATGTCTTTGGGCAGACACACACTCTTGGCCAGATTGATGGCCAATAGGTGGTCTTTCTCCGCAACAACCGAATCTGTATCTCGGATGTCTCGGTCGTTGAAAGTAAGTTTTGGCGCCCAGCTGCCGATGATTCGGTCGGAAGGCTCCGGCTGGGGGCTCGGTGGCAAGATTGGTGGAATAACAGTCTCATCTTCATCAACCAAACTTGGTACAGTCTCGGTGGTTCGGGCGCGCTTGGTTCGGCGCGACAACGGCAGGCTGCGTTTGGCTGGGTGATGATACTTCGGGCCTACTTGTCTCGGTCAGAAGAGCCCTTAGTCGGTTTTTCTTTGCCATCTCTTCTTCAGCAGTTAATGGGATAAGTCGTATTTCGGGCAAGGTTAGGTCCGGTTCAGGTGCTTCTTCAAGAAGAAAGTCAGTGACTCTGGCCTTTCGACGACCACTATATCGGTAGGTCGGCTCGAAATTCAGCAATTTGGCCCAACTCCGGTCAGGATATCGTAGTGCGGCTCGCAAAACCGCAAGGTTGGGATAGCTGTATAAAGAGCGGAGGTGGGCAAAATCTGCAAAAGAAGAACTGTTAGTTCGGTTGATAGACTAAAAACCAAAATAAAAATACAAGGATGAAGACCGAAGTCAAATTACCGGGCTCTCCCTTTTTCCAATTTATAGGTCGGCCAGGAATCTGGGCTTGAAATTCCTCAAAGTTCCCAGAGACCCAGAAAAAATCATCGTCATTAAGGTCTTTGTCCGGTGTGTATTTAACTATCTTCTCTCGGCGGCGGCAAATCCTAAGGTAATAGACCCACCCATCATCTTTTGAGCCGATGGAGTATTGATGGAAAATTTCGGCCAGGCCAAGGTTTAGTCCGGTTTTGTGGTTCAGTGCGGCTATTCCCATAATAATGCGGTATGTATTGGTGGACAGTTGGGTGGGACATAACCTAGTCTACCTAAGAAATTCACAGATCAATGGTTGGACAGGAAACCGTAGTCCGGTTTCTATTATGGACTGAAGGGTAAAAGGAACGAAGCCTTCTTTTTCCCAAGGAATAACATCTTTTTCGGCCAACATCAGATGGACATTATCAGGAATATGGTAATCTTTCCTAAATTCGTCCATACCACCAGGGGTCTCAACTAGATACCTATACTTACCCATCTGATGTATAATTTACTTATAATTTATATCGGTGCAAAAATCGTGCTCAGTAGCTCGGTTGAGCGCACGCAGGAGTGCCTGGGTAACCTAAGTCTGCAAAATAGAAAACAGAGGGGGTTAAAGCACTGATCATTGGACCGTGCTACAATTTAAAAGCAAGGTATAAGAGCCCTACTTCAGCCTCAAAAAAACTGGTTCTATCTCGGTTCATCAAAAGGTTTGGTAGCTCGGTTTGAGTAGTTTGCTCGTTAGACCGGTTTATCGTCTAGGGGCAGCTTTCTGAGTTCGGTCTAAAAAACTAAGAAAGCTGGTTTAGCCCCAAGTCCTAAATCGGTTGTAGTGTGAATAAAGTTACTTCGGTTAAGCCTCTCGGGGCAGCTTTCTGAGTTCGGTTTAGAAACTAAGAAAGCTGGCTTGGCCCCAAAAAGCTTAGTTCGGTTGAAAACCGAGGTTCCTAGTTTGATATGTTCAAAACTCGGTGATCTTATTTCGGCTAAAGTGAGTCAGGCGTTGGTGACTCTTTGAGACTTTCAAGTTCTAGTTCGGTTATTGACTACAGTGATCTACCTATTTAGGGCAAACAGGATCCTAGTTCGGTTGCTACCTAATTTTGGATCTAAGGCAAGTTTCTTACAGAAGTTCATGCACGTATGAGCTCTGCTATTATTTTTTTTTCATAAAAGTACAGAAGCGAAGCGACAAATGAAAGAAAATGTTTGCAAAAAGCATACAAAACAAAGCTATACAGATACGAAAGCAAGATAAAGGAAGCAAAATGAGTTTACATACCAGGTTGAAGAAGGGGGATCCGATGATGGAAAAGTGGCAGCAAAGTCAGTCTTCAGAAGCAACGGAAGAACAGCAAAAACACAGAGAGAGAAGATGAAGAATGGAAGGTGAATGATTCAAGAAAAAGAAAGGTTATTTTGTGAAAGAGGAGAGAGAAAAAAGCGGCAAAAAGGGGCGGGACTGTTCAAAAAGTTCGAAGTACGAAGGTGGCGTGATAACAGCTCACAGCCTATCAGAGCCCGCCACGTGGCAAGGGAAGGGGAAGCGTTACAGTCGTGATTGAAGAGACGTTTTGACCAGATAAAGCAGAGCTCGGAGTAGAACCAGCTCGGCTGGATACGCTGAAGGGTTTTCATCTCGGCTGGAAAGACTTGTAGAACTACAGCTCGGTTGAAGGATTTGTAATCTCAATCATGCTGTGCAGATGAAATTAAGGGGCAATTGAGAGGGTAATTTTTGGAGAAAATTTGGACCGAGCTGTAAGATGGACTTTATGGCCCTAAGTGTGAAGGACTCAGTAAAAGGCCGTAATAATATTCCGGCCCAGAAGAAGCATAGTTACTCCGGTTAGGAGAGGTGTAATTGCTTCGGCCCAAGATGGTGTAAAGCTACTCCGGTCTGGAGGTAACTTGGAGTTAGTCCGGCCTTACGGTTCGTTCATAACCAAAGTTAGTCCGGTCGCGGAGTATTATGGTTAGATCGGTCGGAGCTTGCTACTCAGAAGCTTGGTCTTAGCATACCATGGTTAAACGGGAGAAAACCGAACTAAGGATAGTTCGGCCTACTCTGTGGCTCAGCATAGCCAGTATTATTTCGGTCATATAGTAGTTCGGCCAAAGTGAAAACCATCCCACTTGGTTTAAGCAGTGGGGGAGGGTGTAAAGGGATAAGCATTATCCTTAGGAGTATGAATCCTAGGAGGACTCTGCATGGAGAAAATAAAAGTCCACTAGGATTATGCATTCGAAACCTATAAAAGCTCACAAGCATCACCTTGGAAGAGGTAATTGAACACAATTCTTTCTAGAACACAAAACTTTGTCTATTTGTCAAGCTTACTGACTTAGGCATCGGAGAGGTTTCCGGCACACACCCGCCGGCTAGCTCGCGTTTGTGTTTTCAGGTGATAAAGCGACGTCGTACGGAGGAGCGTGGACTGGTCAACAGGATTATACGAGGAGAATTATTTCCCCCCGTACACATACCAATTAAATAGTCGATATTTTTTAATTAGTAAAAAAAAGGTAGAGTATATATTCTTATTTATTCAGAATATTTTTTAATATGTGATTGTCAATAAATTTTTAAGGAGGGCCAAATTAAATTTGTAGGGTTTATTTAGTAATCCATTTGGCTACGGTCTTATTCTAGCCGATCTCAGTATTGGTGTTTTTTTTATAGTTTGTCATTTCAAGTATTGTTCCTGTTGGTACCTAAGGTGTTGGGTTGTTAGGTTAAGTCTCGCAATGAGCGCAACTTTTGTATTTAGTTGTCATCGTTGAGTTTGGAATTTAGATGGTCAATAATAAGTTTTACCATAACATTTTTTTAATTTGTAGCTATATGGATATATAGAATTGATTCAATTATGGAATCATGAATAATCGGTTCAATCGGTACATTTTGCATGAGGTATTAAATTTTGAAAACAATCCCACTATAAATGGATTTTTGCAAATTTTTTTGAGAGATGTCAAATTAACGTGGGAGGTCATTAGGTGGGGTATATAATAACTTTTACAAGATTATACTAATGTAAAAATGGGGTTTTTTTTCCTTCCAAAACCCCTAGTTGACTTCATAACCAACATGAACAAGGCAAAAAATGTAACAAGGCCATTCACAAATTCTTCTTATCCTAACATACTTTAAAGTTGAAGTATTTTTGTCGGACGAATTATACTAACAGTTCTTATTAATTTGGAAATTTGTGTCACTTTGGTGCCTGACTTTTCAATTGTGATACATTTGATCATGAATTTTAAATCTTTGTCTAAACAAGGACAATCAAAGATATTCCTCTTGCAATCGGTTCTTTTAAATGCAAAGCCGTCATGCAACTTATTTTGTTTTAGTTAACTTGTATATTGTTTGAAATATAATGCATTTTCTTTAATAAATAATGTTAAAACTTTCTTGGTTATAAAGTTACGTTTAATTTAGTTTTCAGAATCTATTTTTAGAAAATTTTCTAAGAAATTAAAAATTAAATTGTGAAAAAAATTAAAACATATCATTTTTATATAATTTTGTCTTTTGCGGAAGTAGAAATAATTTAGTGCCCAACCTGCCATCAAGAAGGGGAGGACAGAGGCAACAAACGTCATGTCCTTTTCGGATAAGGACTTGGAACGAATTTACTGCCCCCATAATGATGCCCTGGTTGATACTCTTTGAGAGCATAAAACTTTGTCTATTTGTCAAGCTTACTGACTTAGGCATCGGAGAGGTTTCCGGCACACACCCGCCGGCTAGCTCGCGTTTGTGTTTTCAGGTGATAAAGCGACGTCGTACGGAGGAGCGTGGACTTGGTCAACAGGATTATACGAGGAGAATTATTTCCCCCCGTACACATACCAATTAAATAGTCGATATTTTTAATTAGTAAAAAAAAGGTAGAGTATATATTCTTATTTATCAGAATATTTTTTAATATGTGATTGTCAATAAATTTTTAAGGAGGGCCAAATTAAATTTGTAGGGTTTATTTAGTAATCCATTTGGCTACGGTCTTATTCTAGCCGATCTCAGTATTGGTGTTTTTTTTATAGTTTGTCATTTCAAGTATTGTTCCTGTTGGTACCATAAGGTGTTGGGTTGTTAGGTTAAGTCTCGCAATGAGCGCAACTTTTGTATTTAGTTGTCATCGTTGAGTTTGGAATTTAGATGGTCAATAATAAGTTTTACCATAACATTTTTTTAATTTGTAGCTGATATGGATATATAGAATTGATTCAATTATGGAATCATGAATAATCGGTTCAATCGGTACATTTTGCATGAGGTATTAAATTTTGAAAAACAATCCCACTATAAAATGGATTTTTGCAA